ATTTTTGACCTCTGTGTTAGAGTAAGTTTAGCGGATTGTGAAAAAAATACGTGGTGCTTGTGAGTCGAGTGTTGAGGCTAGGGTGTTATGATATGGTGCTTAATCTGTTTTAAGTATTCCTGGCATGATGTGTTAGGGAAGTTGTCCGATAAGAAGGTCGTCTCTATGTGAAGTGCAATTTGATTGCTCGAGGACGAGCAATGGTTTAAGTGTAGGTTGTTGATGGTATGCTAGAAACTCGTGTTTAGTCGTAGTTTGCACTCCAATTACTGCATTTTACTTGTGTTTGAGCTTAAATGTTAGTGTATTGCACTTATTATGTATTTTATGCCTTGCAGGAAGTGGTTTCAAGCTATTAAGATAATTTGGAGCTAATTTGAACAAGTTGGAGCTTAGAAGTATGAGTAAAAGCCAAATAAATTAAGCCGAGATCATGTTTGGGAGTCGAGGACCAAGTCTGTATATCAAAAAGTGAGAAAACAAAAATTACTCTGAGAAAATGCACTACCGCCCCGCGAGCCTTATAGCGCTAGTGCAAAATTCCTGCAAAGTGAAAAATATCAACTCTCTGATCCTCACTAATGTGGCGCATGGGGCGCCCACCGGTATATTTTTGCGGTCCAAGTGTCCTACTTCGGCTTGGAAAGGGTAATTTCATCCGGGACCGTTCCCACATGGTATAAATACACCAAAAATATAATTTTTGGAGGACTTTTGAACTTGAAAGTTTTGGGAGAGCATTGAAGGCTACAAGACACGGGATTTTATGATCTTTCCATCAATTCAATACGAGAGTTTGGATTATAACGTGAGATTGATGCTTTCTTATTCTTTAACTCTTTTTATGATGACTTTCATCATATCTATGTAGTTGTTTACCTTAGGGTTTTACATGATTTAGCGATTTGGTTGTTGTTTATCGATTTAATTACAGTTTAGTTGCTTGTATCTATTGGAAGAGCTTTAACTCTAGTTGTGATTTTATTCATTATCTTGTTTAATCGGAAGAGGAGCATAATATTGATTATTGTTGTAATGCATGCCTTAATTTATTTTGGTACTTCCTTAAAGTAATCGAAGGAGCTTTGTGATCTACCCCTTAAATTAAGATTGAGAAATATTCGAGAGAAATTTCTCTTAGACCATTCTTACCAATAGATTCTTGCAAGTTTCGCCGCACCTCACATTAGTTTATTTGAAAGATTTAGATTTAATCGAGAGAGGAGTTTGAATCGGAAGCATAAGCTGATCACCTATTGAATTCGTGAGAATCAATAGAACCTCAAGAGTGAAATATAACAGTATCATATCCAGAATAACAACCTTGCACCTATCATATCAAAACCCTTATTCTCACATTGATAATAAACCAACTCCGCGAATCTCCAATTCTTTGCAATCAATTGTCAATTGCTTTATTTTAGTAGTTAAGCATAGTTCATACTCATTTAACTCAAGTGTTGATCCTCCTGAATAGCAACTAAACCAGAAATCACTCGAACATTGTTTAACTCCAATCCCTGTGGAGGCGATAATTTAACTATACTATCTTTGGCTAGCGAGCATTAATTTTGTGTATTTTGCGCTCGTCAAGTACCCCTCCACATGAGTGGTGATGTCTTCGTTGGTCCCAGGAACGTCCACCTCCTTTCCCTCCCGGTTACAGTCTACCTGGACTGTGGGTAGTGTTTCCTTAGTAACGTAGCACATGTACCTCCATGCTCCCGCGCCTCGATCCTGTTGACTGGAGGCCTTCTTGACGTTGAAGTCATTCCTATGGAGCAGCCCCTGGTACGAAACTCTTCAAGAGAGGCTCCTGGCCCACCTTGGCATCCGTGGCTAGGTTGGAAGACGAAGAGGCGATTTTCTGAGGCACGAATTTGGAAGTTTTCGCCATCGAGTTCTGGGAATATGAAGATTTGAATAAATCTATGAAGATTAGAAGAAAGTCTATGAAGATTTGAAGATGAGATGAAGATATGAAGGTCCGGATTGAAGATCCAAATAAAATCTATGAAGATTTGAAGATGGGATGAAGATATGAAGATCTAAGGAGCGATATAAGAATATTTGCAGAAGTCAAAGGCAAGTAAAAAATTCGAGGGTAAATCCAAGAGTTCTGGAATCGGAAAGCGGGGAAGTAAAAAGATGGGCCGTAGCTTTTATAGAGAGAGGACAATCAATGCTTGATGTTCCACATTCGAGGACGGTCAACCGGCGGCTGACACATGCCCGAAGTCAGAACAACGCGATTGATGGGACATTTCGTTGACCAGATATCTCGGTTGTAATGTACGAAGGAAGGAATCGGGGTCCATCTATCGCTTCCCGTCTTTCGATAAATATATCCTTTGGAAAATGAGGGGACTTTCTATGTCGGGTAAAATCTGGGGCAATGTCTACCCGATTCCCCGATGAGGAAATGGAAGGGGGGCACGGATCCAAGAAATTGTGTTCGAGGTTAGAGACCCTTCGTATCAAGACCCAAGAAGAGTGAACGATATATCCGACATCGGATATGGTAAATCGACGCGTCCCAGTTCGAGTATAACTTCTAGACTTCGAGAGGCACGATGACCGGTTATGCACGGCGGATAGAGGGCCGTAATACTCGCCCTCAATCGGATATCACGGCGCAGATCTCGCTCAATACCGATTATAGATCAATAATTATCGGGAAAGGGAGATTTTTACCTTTTTTTAGACTTATACTAGGACTGAACTCTCCTACTATATAAAGGGAAGTTTTTCTTTAGTCTGACACGTTGTAACACGCAATTCAAGGCCATAAAAGTTTGTTTTTGTTCTCTAAGCTATTGTTGACAATTTTGCTCAGTTGCTCTGTTCTTTATTCACGACTGGGCTTAAATCGAGGGCACAACCGAGGACGAGCTCATTATTCAATCCAAGATTAGTCCTGGTCTTAATATTGCGAGTGGTTTGGTCGTTTGTTTCATATTTAATTCATTTATCTATTATTCTTAATTATGTGTGCTGAATTAAACTACTTGTCATTTAAACCGCGTACATATTCAATTGTTACTCAATTTTGGGGTAAACAGAAGTATTAAAGTGTACCAAGTAAATTAGTAAATACATATTTACTGAGATATTAAAAATTATAAAAATACATTTGAATTGGGTCCTAGGTGGTGGACGTAGTCCGCGGTCCAATCCCAGAAAGCTGCTGGGCTTCGAGTAAACTGTCTTGGTATGGGATAATATCACTTCTGGGATTCAAGTTACCGTCTTGGTTTGGGCCTAATCACATTGTGTTGGTCCAACGTAACGAAACTCAGGTCCGAGAAGAAAATGTTATGTACATAACGTTTCCAAAGAAAGATAGTAAATGATCTCGGTCATTGCATGGCCAATCTCTTCATAATTTAAACAACAATGTGAGTTACTGCTCTATTATGTAACTAGTATTAGTACCCGCACGGATGCGCGGATACTAATCATGTCAAATATTTAAGCTATTTGGATTGTATGTAAATAATCTTAAAATTGATACTTTCTCAGTAAATATAGATAATCATTGGATATTAACTACATGAAAAAAATTAACAATTTCTTCTATTTTCTTTTTTGATAACATTCTTGCCGGTGTCATTGGATCCTAAAAATAGTCAAAGCAAAATAATAACTCATATTTGTGGCAAAATAGTGACTTGTAGCAATGAAAATATCAGAAAGTCATCTGCTTAATAAACTATGCTCTTTGAACACTAGAAAAGTCCGATTTCTTGACCACTGGTTGTTAAGTTATAAGATTAAAGTACTTGCTAAGATACTACTCAGAAAACACTAGAAACGTACTAAGTGGAAAGACAAAAAGGGTACGGAAATACATTAAGGAAAGAAACAAAGTTGAATGCTTACAAGTATGAAATACATTAAAAACTGAAGCATTATGATGCATGTGTGCCAATAGTTGGAGAGTGTGTTTCAACATTATAATAAAGCACTGTTCCACGAAGTATGAGCTCAACTTTTAGTCTTATTCACATCAACTCATTGTTAGAGATGAGTGAGCAAATGAAATCCCTATTTTCCCTATCTTAACAAGCCCCTTCACATCCAAAATATGAGAAGAACAAAACAGATTTCCCACACGACAACACTAAAACTCTATGCACAACGCAACTTCCTTTTTCAGTTTTACATTAATTTTTCTTTGATAATATTAAAAGTGATTGTTGAAGTTTGACCACTGGTCATCAGGACTTTCATTTTAAACGTCTTCTGTCCTTTGTTTTCGTCCCTCGAGATATTGAGGATAATCAGTTTCAAGGCAAATGTTTGTGGGAAAAAGACACTCGAGCAACTTCGTTCCTCGCAATCAAGGGTGCACCCTCCTATATTTTTGTTGCTCCCTCCGTTCCACTTTAAGAGACTGGGCACAAAATTTTAAAAAATAGAGGAGGCTTTTAAACTTGTAGTGTAAAATGAGGTATGTCAAGATTATAAGCTTTGAGTGAGCTCTACTCCTCCTCCAATGGAGAATTCAGAATATTCTAGAATATGTAATTCGAAGAGAGAAAGAAATGAAATGTGAGGAGTCCCTAATTTGGAAAAGTGAAACTCAAAGTATCTATTACTGCATATTGTCCTCTTTATACACATAAGCAACAAAAATACAACAACTAACTAACAAACCTGATAGCTGGAACCTTACAACTAAACTAACCAAGCTGACAGCTGGAACTTTACTAAAAACAGACTAATGCTATGCTGAGTCAGCAATGTATATACAAGTGTACAAGTGTGTATAAATATATAAAATAATCTCAATATCCCCCTCCCCCCCCCCCCTCTCAAGTTGGAGGTGAGGTAATCACAACCAACTTGCCAAGAACAAAGGAATGTTTCACCCAGTGAGCGCTTTAGTGAGAACATATGCCAGTTGCTCTGTAGTGCCAATGTGATGCAAGGAAATAAGGCCCTCCTAAAGCTTGGTGCGTACAAAATGGCAATCCACTTCAATGTGTTTTGTTCGCTCATGGAATACAGGATTTCCTGGCAATGTGTAGAGCAGACTGGCTATCATAATGTATAGGTATGGGCAAGGAGACTGGAACAGTGAGTTCTTCAAATAACCTGTGTAGCCATACTAGTTCGCCTAACACCTTCCTAAGTGCTCTGTATTCTGCTTCTGCCGAGGACAAGGACATGGTTTCCTGTTTCTTGGACTTCCAGCTCACAGGACTACCTCCTAGAAGGACAATGTAACCAGACACAGACCTCCTAGAATCAGGACAAGCTGTCCAATCAGAATCACAGTAAGCAGTGATGGAAAGATCAGATGTATTGCGGAAGTACATGCCCAAAGTAGGATCTTTCTTGAGGTACCTCAACATGTGATAAGCTGCATGTAGATGGGGTTCCCTGGGATCTTGCATAAACTGACTCAAATATTGGACCCCATAAGCTATATCCAATATGATGTTTGTAAGAAAATTCAACTTCCCAACCAATCTCCTGTAAAAAGTAGGATCAGATAAAGGAGAGGCCTCCTTAGCCTTCAGTTTCATTGTGGGATTAAGAGGAGAGGCCAGGCTGGTTGAGTGGAGGCAATCATATTCTTTCATAAGGTCCAGAATAAATTTTCTTTGTGAGATAATAATACCATCTTCCTTGTAAAGTACCTCTAGTCCTAGAAAATAGTGTAGTTGTCCCAAATCTTTTATTTTGAATCTATCATGTAGGAAAGCTTTGAGCTGACTAATTTCCTCTAAATTAGTCCCTGTGAGGAGAACATCATCAACATAAACTGCTACAAAAACAGTTGAAGAATCCTGCTTCTTGTAGAATACGGAATAATTATGCATGGAGTATGTGTATCCTCTTGTGTACATGGCCTCAGTAAACTTATCATACCACTGCCTACTAGCTTGTTTCAGCCTATAAAGGGACTTGTTCTGCTTGCAGACTAAGTTTGGTAACTTCAGGTCAAGACCTGGTGGAGCCTTCATGTAGACTTCCTCATGCAGATCTCCATGGAGAAATGCATTATTTACATCTAATTGGTAAATTTGCCATCTCTTCTTAGCTGCAATGGCAATTAAAGACCTGAAAGTGGTCATCTTGACCACAGGAGAAAAGGTCTCGGTGTAATCAATTGCTCTTGTTGTGTGTACCCCATCACAACTAATCTGGCTTTGTACATTTCTATGCTACCATCTGCTTTATGTTTTGCCTTGTACACCTACCTACAACCGATGGCCTGCTTCCCTTTTGGTAAAGGGACTAAGTCCCAAGTATTTTTGGCATATAATGCCCCAAATTCTTGAGTCATGGAACTCTGCAAGCAGGTTACATGGCTTCCTCTTCATATGAAGTTGGCTCTCTATCATGACAAATATTTTTTACAACATGCTGACTATTAGGATGCAGGTCATCAGGAGCAATGTGGTTATTTTGTGAAAACAAAGCATGGAGGGAAAAAATAGAATTACATTTCAAATTAGGCAGATTACATACATAATCACTCAAGTGAGAGGGGAGTCTGAGTTCCCTACTAGATCTTCTTTGGCCTAAAGGTTCTATGGAAGAAGTACGAGGTTGAGTGGTTGAAGGTGATGTGGAAAGGTGGAAGTGTTCAGTGTTAATTTGTGATTCAGATGTAAGGGGTGTATTAGAATTAGTAGGAGGAATGGGTGACATATCAGGTAGAGGAGTTGTGGTGCTGGAGGAAGGAAGGGAGGGGGCTGATTTGTGTCCCCTTGATCAATGGTAGAGGTTGTAGGAGAAACAATAATGTAATCAGGTAGGTGATATGTAGAAGAATTTGTAGGAAAGATTGGGGGGTAGGCTTTGTACATCTGAAGTGAAAGTGAAAGGAAATGTGGTTTCATGAAATAGGAGATCCCTAGAGACAGAGAATTTCTTAGTGGCTAGACTTAGTACTTTGTAACCCTTTGTCCCAAAGGGATACCCCACAAATACATGAGGATGGCCCTTGGTTCAAACTTGTCCTTGAAAGGCTTGGGCACAGTGGGTTAACACAAACAGCCAAAGTTTCTCAAGTGAGAGTAGGTTGGTCTCTTGTCATACAAGAGTTCAAAAGGACATTTGTTCTTTAAGGAAACTATTGGTAGCCTATTGATTATAAAGGTTGTTGTAAGGACACAGTCTCCCCAGTATTTTAGTGGTAATTTGGACTAAAAAAGGAGTGCCCTGGCTACTTCAAGAAGATATTTATGTTTCTTTTCTACCATCCCATTTTGTTGGGGTGTATAAGGACATGTTTTCTGGTGATTTATACCTTTTGATTGAAAGAAAGAAGAAGCTTCATTGCTGTTAGTTTCATTGTATAAATAATAGTAAATAACCCTAATCCCATATGTATTAGGAGTAGGACATGTATTGTATATATAGGGTTCATTGTAGCATTGTCAATTAACTTATCAAAATAATATTTTTCTCTCGTGCATTCTCACATGGTATCAGAGCATTAGTGAGAAACCTATCGTTGTGCATCATTCTAGCGACTTCCGGGAAAAAAGACCTCGTCGCTGTGAAATTTTTCGGTGACTTAGAAGGCTGCGCGTAATCAAGTCACTTTCTATCGGTGTTGTGCAAAAACCAACACCACCACGAGGTAGATAACTCCTCGGCGACCAACCCTCTAAAATTTCTCCGGCAGAAAATCTTCCACGCGCCTACACGCGCCGGCAGAAGAAATTTTCCGGCGAGCGCGTGACACCCATGCGCCGGCGTGTACACCCACTTCCGGTCATTTTTTGACGACGGTTCTTCAGAACAGTTGGTTCGCCTACTAATTCTGACCCTACCCATCCTATTTTCGTTTGATTCCGACCACTTTGAGTTTTTCCGGCAACTACACTGATTTTTCCGGCAGTTACAGTGATTTTTCCAGCGTAAACAGTGATCCCCAGAAAAAAAAAATCTGCTTTTTCCGATACGATACTATAATAGCATTCGTATCGGAAGCCTTTAACTCACAATCCGTTGGATCCAATGCATTGAATCCCATCCAGATGGTTTCTTTACCGGATTATATTGAGTTTCTTCAGTACAAAGCACGTAAACAGACATCTTCAGGATTAGCCTCCGTTGTTCCAATAAATAGTAGCATGACTTGTGTCTCCCAATCTTCACCTTCTGAGTCTTGGGTCATTGATTCAGGTGCATCTGATCATAATTCTGGTAACAAATCTCTTTTCACTAGTATTTCATATTCTCAATCTCTTCCAACAGTCACACTAGCCAATGGGTCTCACGCCATGGCAACTGCAATAGGTCAAGCAAGTCCACTTCCTTCCTTACCTTTAGACTCCGTTCTTTATGTTCCTGGTAGTCCTTTTAATCTCATAGCCATTAGTCGCCTAGCCAAATCCCTTAAATCTGCTATTTTATTTCTTGATGACCTTGTTTTTATACAGGAATGCAGTACAGGGCGGATCATTGGTACCGGACGTGAATCAGATGGACTTTATTACCTTTTCCTTGCAAAATCACATGGACTCGCATCTTGTCTTTCTCCAATAACTTCTCCCGTTACTGATTCACCAGATTTATTACATAAACGGTTAGGACATCCCAGTCTGTCAAAACTTCAGAAAATGGTACCTGGCTTATCTCACTTGTCCACTCTAGAGTGTGAGTCATGTCAGCTCGATAAGCATACCCGCACCCATTTCTCGCGGCGTCTCGATAATCGAGCAGAGTCACCTTTTACATTAGTCCATTCAAATGTTTGGGGTCCTAGTCAGGTCAGTTCTACCTTGTGATTCCGCTACTTTGTCAGTTTCATTGATGATTATTCCAGGTGCACTTGGATATTTTTGATGAAAACCCGATCTGAGTTTTTTTCTATTTTCCAGGCCTTCCACGCTGAAATTCAAAATCAATTTAGGGTTTCTATCAGTATATTTCGTAGTGATAATGCCCCAGAGTATTTGTCTTTCCCGTTTCAGCAGTTTATGAACTCCCATGGATTATTCATCAAATATCTTGTCCGTACACATCCCAACAAAATGGGGTAGCTGAAAAAAGAATAGACATCTTATTGAAACTGCTCGTACCCTACTCATACAATCTCATTTTCCGCTGCATTTTTGGGGGCATGCAATTCTTACATCTTGTTATCTTATTAATCGTATGCCATCTTCAGCTATCCAAAATCAAGTTCCATTCTCTGTCCTGTTTCCCCACTTACCTTTGTTCTCTCTTCCACCCCGTGTATTTGGGAGTACGTGCTTTGTTCATGACCTTACACCAGGAAAAGATAAGTTAGCTCCCCGTGCTCTTAAGTGCATATTTCTGGGTTACTCAAGAACGCAAAAGGGATATCGATGTTATTCTCCTGACCTTCAGCGATTTCTTATGTCTGCTGATGTTACCTTCTTTGAAACTCAATCATACTTCACAGGTCCAGTTAATCACTTAGATATTTCTGAGGTGCTACCCGTTCCTTCTTTTGGAGATTCAGTCCCTATCTCCCATTCATCTTCCTCCATAACTCCACCGCCTACAGTTCCAGTTGCAGCTCCACCACCTATAGCTCCAGTGTCACCACCAAGTCCAGTTCCACCAACCATAGCTCCAGTGCCACCACCTAGTCCAGCTCAACCTTCTACAGCTCCACCACTCCTGACTTATCATCGTCGTCCGCCCCCAGCATCAGGCCCAGCTGATTCACGTCCTACACCTGACCCTGCTAATACTGCGGACTTGTCTCCTCTTAATCAACCGATTGCACTACGAAAAGGTATATTGTCCACACTTAATCCTAATCCTCATTATATTGGTTTAAGTTACCATCGTCTCTCATCATCCCATTGTGCATTTGTGTCATCTTTGTCCTCTGTTTCCATCCCTAAGTCTACAGGTGAAGCACTGTCTCATCCCAGATGGCGACAGGCTATGATTGACGAGATGTCTGCTTTACATACGAGTGGTACTTGGGAGCTTGTTCCTCTTCCTTCGGGTAAATCCACTGTTGGTTGTCATTGAGTGTATGCAGTCAAAGTTGGTCCAGATGGCCAGGTTGATCGACTTAAGGCTCGTCTTGTTGCCAAAGGATATACTCAGATATTTGAACTCGATTACAGTGATACTTTATCTCCCGTGGCTAAAATTGCATCAGTCCGCCTTTTTCTATCCATGGCTGTTGTTCGCCATTGGCCTCTCTATCAGTTGGACATTAAGAATGTTTTTCTTCACGGTGACCTTGAGGATAAGGTTTATATGGAGCAACCTCCTGGTTTTGTTGCTCAGGGGGAGTCTAGTGGCCTTGTATGTCGTTGCGCTGGTCCTTCTATGGTCTAAAGCAGTCTCCTCGAGCCTGGTTTGGTAAGTTCAGCACAGTTATTCAGGAGTTTGGCATGACGCGTAGTGAAGCTGATTGATGATAGGCTATAATTACGTATTTTAGTCGCTTAATACACTCTAATTTACTGCACTTTAATTGAGTTTGCGCTTTAATCGCTAGTGTTTTGCACTAACGGTGTGTTTTATGCCTTGTAGGAGTGATTTCGAGATATATAGATGTTATGGAATGAATTCAAGTGATTTGGAGCTTTGAAGTCTGAGTAAAAGCCCAAGGAATTAAGCCGGGATCATATTCGGGGATCAACGGATGATAAAACAACAAAACAAAGACTCGAGTAGGCATATTGCGCACTGTCTAGTAAAATGCACATAACTTTTTTCTCCGAACTACATTTGGGCTCCACAATATATGGTTGGAAATCTAACTCAAAGGGCTACAACTTTCATGTTTTACATTTTTCCAAATTCCAAACGGAATAGGGTCAAAAACGCGATTGAAACTGCGACTGCGGACCTGACGCGGCAGAACACTGCTGCAGATTCTGAAGGCCACTCTGGCCGCGGTCCTGGCGTAACCGCGGTAGGACCGCGGCAGGACGCGTAAATTTCAGTGACTAAAGTGCAAAACACGGTATTTTAAGCCCTAAACCCTATATTAAACGAGGGAAGCCGGCCAAGAAAGGGGAGAATGATTTTTGGGAGTGAAAAATATCAGAAGGAAGGGAAAGAGGCAAGGAGGATCATTGGGCATCAATCTTTAATCTTCTTCTTTGTTCTTTTACCTTTGAATATATTCTTTTGTGATTTTTGTTATTTTCATGAGTAGCTAACTTTTCTAATCTAAGGTTTTGGTGAAACCCGTTGGGGATGAATTGGTTGAATTAGTTTAATCCCTATTTGTTCAACTATGTTTTGATTGTGGTTAATTGAAAGGATCCTCAATTAGCCGTTCCTATTTATTATGTATCTGCTTGAGAGAATGTTCATATTTAGGTAGTTGTTTGAAAAACATCACTCCCGGAGTATAGGCGAGAGTCATAACCGAGGGTTTAGAGGTTGGATTAGAGATAACGGTACCTCGGGTGCGATCTAAGTGAACTGTAATGCGAATCTAGCTAGCGTAGATTGAGAGAGTGCATCTAGTAAATTATCATAATTGCTTGAGAGAGATTTATGATAGCTGGAGAGTTCATGATTGATAGAGGCAACTTAGTCAACGCTATAAGAAACATACAACCAAGGAAATCAACAACGGGGGAAACCATTACCTTAGACCTTTATTCTAATTGTTTACAATTCAAGCATAGTTAGTTTTCAGCTGTTTATTTATTTTCAATATTGTCTTCTTGGTGATATCAAACAGATATAGCTAAGCCTTGGTTCTCTGTGGGATTCGACTCCGGACTTTTAGACCGGATTATATTTGCAGCGACCGCTTATCCTTTTTAGGACTAGAGTTGGGCGTGATCACTGATCACTTTGTATTTTATCGACATTCTGCTTCAAATCTCTATATTTATCTGTTCGTTTATGTTGATAATATTGTTATTACCGGCAATGATCGGGATGGTATTAGTAAGTTGAAGCAACATCTCTTTCAGCACTTTCAGACTAAGAATCTGGGCAGATTAAAGTATTTTCTGGGTATTGAGGTCGCTCAGTCTAGCTCAGGTATTGTGATCTCACAACGGAAGTATGCCTTATTGTAGACCTATTCACACTCCGATGGATCCAAATTCTAAACTTCTGCCAGGACAGGGGGAGCCTCTTAGCAATCCTGCAAGATATAGGCGGTTGGTCACAGTGACTAGACCTGACATTTCCTTTCCTGTGAGTGTTGTGAGTCAGTTTATGGATTCTCCCTGTGATAGTCATTGGGATGCAGTTGTCCGCATTCTTCGGTTATATAAAATCATCTCCAAGCAAAGGCTTATTGTTTGAGGATTGAGGCCATGAGCAGATCGTTGGATACTCAGATGCTGATTGGGCAGGATCACCTTCTGATAGACGTTCTACGTCTGGATATTGTGTCTTAGTAGGAGGAAATTTGGTGTCTTGGAAGAGCAAAAAACAGAATATGGTTGCTCGGTCTAGTGCAGAAGCAGAATATCGAGCAATGGCTATGGCCAAATGTGAGCTAATTTAGATCAAACAGTTGCTCAAGGAGTTGAAATTTGGTGGATTAGTCAGATGGGACTTGTGTGTGATAATCAAGCTGCTCTTCATATTGCGTCAAATCTAGTGTTCCATGAGAGAACTAAACACATCGAGATTGACTGTCACTTTGTTAGAGAGAAGATACTCTCGGGAGATATTGCTACAAAATTTGTGAAGTCGAATGATCAGATTGCTGATATTTTCACCAAGTCCTTCACTGGTCCTCGTATTAGTTATATATGTAACAAGCTCGGTACATATGATTTATATGCACCAGCTTGAGGGGGAGTGTTAGTTTCACTGTATAAATAGTAGTAAATAACCCTAATCCTATATGTATTAGGAGTAGGACATGTATTGTATATATAGGGTTCATTGTAGCATTGTCAATTAACTAATCAATATAATATTTTTCTCTCGTGCATTCTCACAATTGCTAGTGAATTCTAGGCCATTATCAGTTGATATTGGTTTTGAATTGGTTCTCCACCATGTTTACAAAAGTTTTTATGACTTGAAGTGCATTGCTTTTACAACTTAGAAGATGTGTCCAGGTTGACCTACTGCATTCATCCACTAAAGTGAGGAAATACTTGAAATTATTATGTTTTGCCACATGATAAGGACCCCATAGGTCAACATGAAGAAGCTCAAAGATTTTTGTGGTATTGGCTATTTTCTGGGGGGAAGGGGAGTCTAGAGTGTTTGGACATGGGACAGATGGAACAAATAAATGGTTGTTTGGGAGAGAAAGATGCATGTATAGTAGGAATGCCTCTCATTTTATTTAAGGGTACATGACCAAGTCAATAATGCCACAAAAGATCCACACTGTCTCTGAGAGAGGTAGAGGAAAGAAGAGTAGAAGCACTGTCTTTATTGTTGCAGAGATTATTTACAGTAGGGTGGTGGGGATGGGATAGACAGTGTACTGCATTCATATCACTAGCATGATTAGAAAAATAAGGAAGTGCACACCTTGAAAAAGAAATGAGACTTTAGACATTGAGAAGATAGAAAGTAGAGTCCATCATACATCTTACCAATCTGCAGAGGCCTCTTTAGTGAAGGGGCCTGCAGTAGACAAGATGTATCAGAAAAGGAAGCAATACACTTGAGATGCACTGCTAACGAACTAATGGAGACTAGGTTAAACTTGAAGGATGGTATAAACAGGACCCTATGTAAGGTGATTTTTGGGGCTAGATGTACATCTCCTATTTGGGTTACTTTAACTTTGTAACCATTTGGTAATTTAACAAGCAGATGATATGGTAGATTTATAGTATTTTGTAAGTGAGTTTTATCGAAAGCCATATGATCTGAAGCTCCTGAATCTAATATCCACAAGTCAGCTTTTGCATTGAAACATTTGTATGATGGATTATCAAAATCAATGGAAGAAGTGCAAGCAATCATACCTGCAAAATTCACAGAAGCTCTACCAGAAACACTTGAATTGCTTTCTCCTCCATTTCCAACTTGAAAATGCTGCAGTAGACTGAGAATTTGTCCATATTGTTCCTTTGAAAGGCTCATATTCTGATTGTCTCCTTGATGTTCTGGTTCAACTGCTTTGGCTGACAACATGTCTGATGATATTCCTTGTACACTTGCAACTGCATTTGCCACAGTGCTCTTCCCCTTGTTGGACCTCATGTTGTTGTTATACCCTTGTGAATTCTGCTTATACTGCTGTGAGCCCTGTCCAAAACCTTGAGGGTATCCATGCAGCTTGTAGCATCTGTCTTTGGTATGTCCTGGTCGTCTGCAGTGGTCACAAAATGGCCTAGGCCTGCTGTTTGAAGTCTGATTCCCACTAGGTGAGTAATTTGTCTTAAAAGTTCTTCCCCCTACATTGACATTCAACGTAGCAGAATCAAAATTCAATTGGTTTCTGGGCTTGAATTCTCTCAAGTTCTCCTCCTGTATCAGCAAAGCAAATGCTTGTGCCATAGAAGGCAATGGGTTCATCATGAGAAAGCTTCCCCGAACAACTGTGTAAACCTCGTTAAGTCCCATTAGAAACTGTATGAGTCTTCTATCCTGCTCTGCCTTGTGCATGCTTTCCTTTGCTCCACAAATGCACACACAACTAAAGTGAGTTTTAGCACTTAGTGTGTTCAACTCTTCCTAGAGTTTCTTCATTTTTGTGTAATAACCTGTGATGTCAAGCACTCCTTGACTCAAATCGTTAATCTCTTTCTTGATTTGATACAACTTAACTCCATTCGTCTGATCATATCAGTCCTCCAATTCCTTCCGCAATTCAACAGAATTATTTACATACTCAACATTGTCTGCAATGTCCTTCGCTAAGGAATTCAGAATCCATGAAGTAACCATGTCATCACACCTCTCCCACTAGCAAAACTGTGGAGAGGTCACATCAGGCCTCACACACTCTCCATTGATAAAACCTAGCTTACTTTTTACTGAGAGGAACCTTAACACTCCTCTTCTCCAGGAACGATAACCAACTCCATCAAAGGGAACAGGTACTAAAGTAGAACCCGGACTATCAGATGTATGAATATAAAGAGGACTAGTTGTATCAATTACCGTTTGCGTGGTCGCCGCCGTCATCGCTTCGCCGGTTTGATCCAGAACCGCCATGAGAATATCAAATCAGCTAGATTACTGCTTGCCTAGCCGGAATTAAGCTCAGAAACCTCTATTCATTCACAAATTGTTGGTGGATGTGTCGATTTAGAGTTTTCCCCAAATTGTTTGTTTGTGAAAGAAAAACCCTAGCTTACTCTGTGATTGAAAATGAAAGAACAAAAATAGATTCAACAGCTTGATCGATTAAGAAGACCTCCACTCTAATACCATGTCAAGATTATAAGCTCTGAGTTAGCTCTACTCTTCCTCCAATGGAGGATTCTGAACGTTCTAGAATATGTAGTTCGAAGAGAGAAAGAAATGAATAGTGAGGAGTCGCTTATTTGGAAGAGTGAAACTCAAAATATCTATTACTGAGTATTGTCCTCTTTATACACATAAGCAACAAAAATACAACAACTAAACTAACCAAGCTGACAGCTAGAACCTTACTAAAAACAGACTAATGCTATGCTGACTCAGCAATGTATATACAAGTGTACAAGTGTGTATAAATATTGAATATAATCTCAATAAGGTACATATATTTTGTGTGGCTATAAATTATTACATAAATATAAATTGTTTCTAAATAAGGAAAGTGATCATTTTTTTTGGCACGGACTAAAAAAAATAAGTTCACATAATTAGGGAATAGTAGTTTGTGACCAGTCTTATAGTCCTAATAATATGTAAGTGATCAATTATTTGGTCTCAAGAAAAAGAACAATTATTTTCTCCATAAATGTTGTATCTGATATCCACTCATGATTAATTTACATTTATGCCAGGTAGATCTATTAAGACAGAGAGTAAAATGTTCTCTATCAATAATTTTCGATTTTCAAACTCAAAGTATATTTCTATTATATAGAAAAGTCATGATGGTCGACCAAGGCTATAGTTGTCATTTAGCTCAATTATAAAAGTGCTTTATCGAGATGGCTTTTTCAACACTAACACTACTATATTCTAGAAGATATCTCTTTCACCTTTCAATTCCATCTCCTATTCCAATTTAAGGTATACTTTTCTTTTAATTTTTCCCAAATCTTCTTCCAGTTTGTAAAAAGATTGATTGTTTTACCTTTTTTTTTCCCGTTATACTTGTTCAAGTTCTCCCCAGACTTCTCAAACAATTCTTTTTCCCGTTCTCTCTATTTTCTCAACAGTGTATTGCTACTTTCAGGTCTGCTCCTTTTAAAAAAAATTCCAAATATTACTGTTTTTCCCTTATTATATTTTCCGATCTTATTTGACTTTTGTAGTTAGAGAGTTAGGCGTGAGTTTGAAGAGTTTAGGATAGAACTTGGAGTTCTTCGTTTTTTTATGTATTTGCTGTTCTTTAAAGGTTGAATCTCTAGGAACAGGCTTTATGTATGTACAGAGGTATAATCTTTTTAAAGTGTTCTTAATTTTTAGTGTACATGCATATGATTGTCTTTGTTGTGAGTGTTTTATGGGGATATTTGGGGTTGTTTTACTTTAATCTTCTCGATATAATCATATATTTGCCGTGGTGCACTAATTCGATAAAGTTAAAACAGTAATGATTCTATATTTTTACGGATAAAATTACACGGTTGAGTGTGCACAGATGGAATCTTATACATGCAAATTACCTTTTTCTTTTGCCTTTATAAATTTTGCTGTCTGCTTATCTAGGGAATGTCTATGCATTGCTCCCTTTTTTCTGTTTGTTCTCGATGAAACTTAGTGATAAAAACTATCCAGAAGCTTATTGAACTTTGATCCCGATTTTCTGTTTACTGAATTCTGATAAAAAGAATTTTTTTTTATTAAAATCTGGCCGATCATCTTTCTAGTGAAGATGATGACCCTCCTACCGCTTTCTTAATATTTCTCCAAACTTATTTACAAGTATGCATTTTAGAAGTAAGAATGCAAAGTGTTTTTCTTAACTGTGAATTTAACTTTTAAAAGAGTGCAATTAGTTAACTAATTTCTATAAATATGTTAAACTTAACACAACATTATTTGCCGAATAATATGAATTCTCCCTTGATAGGAAAACATGCTCCGCAACGACCAAACAGTCACCTCAGCTGACCATTTATCATTTTGACACTTCAAGTGGTTATCAAGTGTACCTCGTGAACACCCGAGTTCGGCAGTTCATATGCGTGAGTTACGCTCGCCTCCAATCTTCTTCTCCGACGAGAGATGACCCCTCCGCTCTTGTTCATCTCGCCCCCTTTTCCTTCTTCCAAACTCCTCGTCCCCACCTACAATATGTAACAAAATTCACAATCTCTTAGTCTAAAAGACAACTTAATTACACTATTATTTGACTTGCTGGTAGGTTGAATTAGGTATTCACAGAGTTTTGCTACTGCTTCTTTATCACTGTGCTTCATTTCTTACTTAACTGTCGCCGATGGAACCAAGCAGAACAAGTGGAGCTTCGCTACCAGCTGCTAAAAGACAACTTAATTGGACCATGAAAGATTTCAAATTTTTAACCTCAGAAGGGAATTGGAGAAGGTCAATTATTAGAAATGGGACCGAAATTTTATGGGTGGTCAATTGATATTATTATGGTGTAGTGGCTGTTATAGATTTTTTTTTATTTTAAGATTGAATAAGATGAGGTGGATCACGTTGGAAGGTGAATAAGCTACTGATGTTGCCATGTTTAGGTCAGAAAAGTTTGGCGGTGGAGATGAATTATTTGGAAGAAAGTAAAATGAATGTGGGAAAAATTAAAAATACAGTGGGACCCACATAAAAGTTATGGTTAATCCGCATAAAGTAAGGTTAAATTTTTTTAAAAATGAAAAATTTTAATTTTGAGGGTTTTACGTGTTCATATGTGAATATAAAGCACCCACTTTGCTATGTCAGCATGAGGGTTCACCGGGTCGTACTTCTATTGAAAAAGAAGTGTCTAGTTGATAATGGCATCAATTGAGGCGTCTATCTGGTTACTGTGGACGACTTAAACAGGTTATTTATGTATTTCGCCATTTGAATTTAATTTAGTTTTTATAGAATAACAAATTGTGCATAAATATTTATCTGATAGCTCTTTAGAATCTGATTGTTCCTATATTATTATCATTATAACATATGATTGGACTGCAAAGTATCTGCCAGGTGACCAGGAGGTCACGGGTTCGAGCCGTGAAAACAGCCTCTTGCAGAAATGCTGGGTTAAATTGCGTACAATAGACCCTTGTGGTCTGGCCCTTCCCCGGACCGCGCGCATGCGGGAGCTTAATGCACCGCGACTGTTCTTATATGATTGTACTGCAAGTTCATTGTAGAAACACAATTGTTGTTGTTGTTATCTATTGATATTGTTGAACTAAATTTTAAATAGCTAAATACTGAATCGGCATATATATTTTTTCATTCTTTCTTATTGCTATTCACTTAACAGTTTTTTATAAGATTGATGCATTGCTTCTTTGTTAGACTTCTTCCATCGTGTAAAAATTACAAATTAAATGGTTGATAAAATTTTCAACTCCTCTTGTGAGTTGCTTTTAATACAGTTAATTAGTTTTACAGGAGACTTTTGGTGCTTTTAGATCAAGCACAAAAAAGTACTCCCTCTGGTCCAAAATAAGTGATTTTTTGGGCTTTTTCAAATGGTCCAAAATAAGTGATTTTTCCAGATTTCAAAAATGAATTAATTATTTTTTCCTACATTGTCCTTGAAGTAAATGGTGTTGGAATATGTGTTAGGAGTGTTTATGTGAGATAGTAAAGGTTAATATGGTCAATTCCATTGCTAATTAATGCTAAAAGATGGATTTCTTAATTTGTGTGAAAACATCCAAACAATCACTTATTTTGGACCGGAGGGAGTATAAAAATTTGGACAAAGATGTATGATGGGGTTGAGTTACCTATTTGTCTGGTTACTCAGTCATGCTGTTACAGTAGCTACTTACTAGCAAGAGCTATTGTTATTACTCAGTCATGTTGGACTGTCATTTTGTATGATTATCTTTGTGGATGTAATTTCAAAGGAGCAAAATTCTATTTTTCCGAACAAATTCTGAATATGCATACTCTAAGTAATAGACAGTCCTCGATGTTATCACTTTTACCAAGAATGGAACTTTGTTTCTGTGTTTGTGAAATTGTAGTTATTTAAAGTATGTAGGGATTAAATGTAATTTGAATTCCAAATGTTGGGCCCGCGCTATGCACCCCATCTAGTACTTAAAATAAAAATGGAAGAATTACAACCGTTCCACCACTCCTATCTGGTATATGTAAGTGATAATTGCCTAATCCAAGGTGGAAAAATGATTAAAGAAAGCCCAAAAATAATAGGAGTGCAGTAGAAGCACCTTCAAATGACATGGACACACGTGGAGCACACAAATAAAGAATGTCATTGGAGAGAATAGGAGATCAAATTAGGGGACCAATTGACATAACTTTGTGCCACGATTGGAGCCGGCAAACCCTCAATTGTGTTTTTCTGCACAAACGACCAAGTCAATTTGGCAATCATGTCGGCTTGGGTCATAAAATAGGACCCTCACACCCATCTTATTTTGTTCTAATGGATGACGAGAAAGTTAGTCACCAAAGTGGGGTTATGACATGGCCAAGACCCCTTATTGGAAAATGAAAACTATGGAAAAGAAACAGGTTTTACTTTTTACCTTTTCCAACATTTAAACGCAAGCAATGATGCTTCTTAACTGAAATCCTAATCCATGAAAAAAGGTCTTTTGTTTAGAAAAGAAATTTAAAAAGTGGGGTAAAGATTTGCTTTTGTGAAAAGTCGGTGCAATTTGATCATGTTACTTTCCTTTTCTCTTTTTTGCCCTTTGTTGAAAAAGATCCAAACTCCGACATGTCACTAAGGTATACTTTCTTACTTGGACTCCTTGTCCTCATGCTAGGCCACAACCACATCATCCTTATTCATATTTCCTCTTTTGCCCATCCATATACCATGAAATCTCATGTAGTATCCAGAGTGCTTTTTATATTAAATTTTAATTATTGTAGGGTTTAAGTCGAAAGTATGTGTTTAATGATATTTATATAATTCTCTGTTTAATATTAGCATAGGTTAAGTGGTTAACTGGCTTTTCATCGACTTGTAAAATAGGTTAACTTGTTAGACTAGTAATTTTTTTTGGTAATGAAATGATTTTATTTATCAGTGTCAATATGTATAATGTCAGAAAAACTGAGCCTGGACAGACCCCAGTCTCAAACAACTTTATACCCAACATCTTCGTAAAGATTAAGGATAAAAATTAGAAGAGCAAAGATCACCTTTAGCCCGCGATAAAATTATTTATATTCGTTAACCATAATAGTGTATAAATATATATATAAGTTGCTGTTCAAGTTCATCATCATCTTCTAATAAAAGTTGTTCGATCTGGTTAAGAACGGACTCATCTAAATTAAGATTTCTAACGTTGTTAGACAACTTGCAGTATTTGGCTATATGACCTGGTTTGCATTTGAAATATTTGCCAAAATTGGGAGTTTTGAAGTTTGTTGGTTTATGTTTATTGGAAAAGGTTTTGGATTTAGAAGAAAACGGTTTGGTCATATATATATATATATATATATATGACTATTATTTTAAGAGCGACTATACAATATTATTTTCCCCCGTAAAACATGAACGGAGAATTCATATCCAACAGAAGCTCCCCCACTCCCTTCTCGCACCTATTCCAGCAGATAGCATCTTCTCCCAATCGATCTTCTAATCTATAAAGGAATCAGGCTGCAGTTGCCATATAGGAAATTTTGAGAATCTGAACTATATCTTCTTTTTCCTTTTTGTTCTCTCTTGACGACAAGTGCTAACTTCCCTCCCCTAAACAAGAATATTAATTTGCTTCACTTTTGGATTGTTCCAAACCAAGACTTTTTAACAATTTTTTCTTTTTTTTTATTATACTCTCTGTTGAAATTTACATCAATCTATTTCTTTTCAAGTTTCTTCTAATTAATATTCACTTTATCGTAATCGACTTTCTTATGAATAAATATTACACTTCTAAATAATAAAATAAACTAAAACGTTTATTAACTGTCCACTTTCTATCCCTAATTTAAACACTATGTTAATAAGCTCGTCTTAAGTTTACCTTTTAAGTTGATAACTCATATAGAATTTAGGAAAAAAAAACTATACTCAATGGTGTGTATTTACTACCTGCACTTCATTTTTAAATATTTAATATACATACCTGGTTGGGTATATTCCTAAAAGAGTGTGTAGACTGGAAATTAAAAAAAGGTAAACTTGTCATTTTTATTTAACTTCATGAGAGAATGATTAAGCGTTTACTTTCAAGTAATTGGACGTTAAATTTGTTCAATACACTAATGGAATCAAGGCATATGGGATTTACAGGATATAATTTCACGAGATACCCTTTACAACTTTTACTCCTTTTTAGACCATTCTTTAAGAAAAAAATTAAAGATGAAGAATAAATTGTGAGCTCCGTTTGTTTAATTTATGGTCAGATTAATATAAGATTCTCATTTTCTGTCATTCACGTTATCTCAAACACATATCACTTTTTATCATCAGTAGAAGAGTATTTTTCTTTTCCTTTATCATTATAGCAGGAAGGAAAACTTTATAAAGTGGAAAAGATATTCTGCCTTTTATGGATATGATTTTCATGTACACTATTTTTCACAAGAATTTTAAGAAGGTACGGAACAATAAAAGATAGGTCCTCAGATCTCAACGGAGCAGAGTGCATACAGCAGTACAAAATAGAATCTGAGGTAGAACTGAATTCATGGAAATTTCCTAACCAAAGAACACAAATTATATGAAGCCTAACTTCTATAACCAACATCTATTGGCTGACCGTAAAGACAGGAACAACTAGTCACTATTGACAGTGTTAATAGCTTTTTCAGTATCAATGTATTTAATAGATTTTAATATATTTAATTAAAAAATGGCAGTCTGGTGTGCACCGGCATTTCGTGCTCATGCATGATCTCGGAAGGATCACACCCTACACTATTTATTTGATGAACAGAGTTTAATTTTCGTACATGGACAATACTAATATGTTCTTTAGTATATAATATTGTTTATGTACAAACATTAGATTATGTTCATTAAATAAACGTTGAAAATATAGATAAAAGAAAACCTTATCCACCTCCCTAAAATTCTGGCCTCCATCATTGCCAACTTCTACGCTCCAAATTCCTCAATCCCCCACGGAATCAAATGCCCATAATACCAAATCATTGGCGGGTCCCTATCTTGTCTCATCCCCTCACCTTTTTAATATCTCTAGCACCTCCTTCGCACGTGACAATGTGTTTCTCTTTTTCCTTTTTCCTTTACCTTTTACTATCTCTTACGGCACCAATTTATGTTTTTCCTTTTTTTTTTTTTTTTTTTTTGATAATGATGCTCACGCAGGTTGTGTACTTGTGTTATCTCGACTATTTTATTGGAAAGAATGATAACCCACTATTATTTTTATTTTTGAGAAAATGCATAAAGCACCCATTAAACTTATCCGGAAAAATTATTTATATACTTAAACTTTACGGGCGACCTTCTAGCCCTTATTCTAAACTTAAGTGAATTTAATACCCTCTTGAGTGATGACCTGGCGTAAAACGTGTAGTTCATTTTCTAGATGCGCGTGAACGCAAAAAAAAAAATAACTTAAAACTAATTTAACGGTCCAGGTGTCACTTTTGGATATTATAACTAATTAACTTAAGACTACTTTTTTCTCTTTTCTTATTCATTTTTCTTTTCTTTTTCGTTTTTTTTTTTCTCTTTCTTCATTTAACAGAAGCAGTGAACTGAGCGCTACCTTGGCTAAAATATCCATTTCTGGTGACCTTATTCTTATCTCCATCCTTGTTCAATTGAGATTTTCTCCATCCGATTTTTCATCTATTTGCTGAAAAATACCTCTTTAGAACCAGAAATAGTGTTGAAAAGAAGATAAGGTGTCACCGAAAAATTCTCCGACCGGAGAAAATTTATAGGCCCTTAACTAGTAGCTCTATATCTCAGGTTTTATTCACTCTTCCAATACAAAACTAGGAGGAATAAAGTGACAAAAATTCTACTAAGGAAACCCAGACGAGGGAAATTAGGAGCACAAACCCAACTCGTCAAAAAATAGGGTACCAACGATACCAAACTTTCCGTCCAACCAAAAATTTCTCTCTATCCCAAGCTTTCCCACCCTTTTTCTCCTTAATTTCGTGTAATGTTAAAGCCACAAATAAATTTATCTACAATGAAAAAACAAGAATAGAGATGGAGTTATTTAAGGGAGGTTATCCTTCCCGTTTCTGTTGATATCGTTCGGGAGTGTCTTTGTTTTCAATCAACAA